GTTATGAAATCTATCATGCTTCTATCATCACCTCTTTCCCAAGTATACATGTGAATCTTCTTATGACGAAAGAAAGTGTTATTTAAAATCTATATTGAATAAAAAAGTTTCTATTCTATTTATATTCTTCAATTTAAAGGAATCCCAAAACGCTCGTATTTATTTTTCCCCGTCACTGCATACGCAAGACAGTCGCAGTCTGATTAATTTTATAGGTTTATTTTAACGCGCTTATTTTGGATTTCGCAGAAGGAGCTTTCAGTACCGTGAAGTTTTGAAGTGTGGTATGATATATCGTTTGAACTTGATTTTATTAATTTTGTAATTCCAAGCTCATGATAGCACTTAGTCGTATTTTCTTCTTTAATAAGACTTTTTCTTCTTTAATAAGACATTTTAGGCCACATTGTAGCTGAGATAAATTCTTACGCTACCAAAATTGCATCTGCTGGTTTCCAGTCCCAATGGTATCCCACCAATATTGATGAAATTTTGTGCCTCTTTTCGTTCTCGTTATTTTTTAAGGTTTTTTTTATGTTCGCCTGATGGTAAGTGGTTGCTATGGCCCATAGACATGTACATCTATCCTCGATTACGAATCAAAGTGCAAATGCATTGTCACCCGTGAGAACTAAGATGGAAAGCCTCTTTTCCAGTGAAAAGGGTCCCGGTTCTCTACACTCACCATACGAAATAGCAGCGTTAAGCTGCTATTTTACGCTGGTATTCTGTGAGAGCATGGTCCTTCCCCGGTGGAGCCTACCTATTCGTGCTAAAACTATTTATTTATTTATTTTTATTTTTTATTTATTTATTATTTATTTGGAAAACTTACAGCTAATTTACAAAAATAATATAATTATAACAAAAATGAAGGCCATTTACAAGTTTTCACTTATATACTACTTTATAATAAACAAGATTGTGTCAAAACAGATATGTACAAGTATATGAGAAGCAACAGTACACTATCGAGAAGAAAAAAATTGTTAGAAAGTGATCGCCTAAGTTGGGGAACGCTGGAATGAAATAAGTCAATATCCACGTTGTGAATATGTGCTGTAGTATTAAAAGATTTGCATGATCGAATAATAAAAGAGTTTTGTCTATAATTACTTTTCACGTATGGTACCGATAAAAGTGTAGGTTTCCGCAAGTTAGATGATGAGGTACGTAAACCTATTTTGCCCAGTAGTTCAGGGCAATCAACAACAGCATTAACAGTTTTAGAGAGGAAAGAGAGATCTGCAATATTTCTTCGCTCATATAAAGGTAAGATATGAAATTTTTTACATCGAAGAGTGTAGTTGGGGATAAACTTTTTTGATTTAAATTGAAGAAAACGCAAAAATCTTTTTTTGTATGCGCTCTATCCTATCAACATATACATTATATTTAGGAATTTCAGATGCATATTCCAAGTGGCTACGTACAAAAGCGCAATAAAGAATTTTAAAGTTTTTATACTTTTAAAATCTGCCAATAATCTTAATATAAAACCTAGCGCTTTGTTAGCCTTTGTAACAATATCATCAATGTGATTGTCAAACAGCGATTTTGAGTCAAAGGTAACATCTAGATCTCAGATAGTGGTGGTTCTATTTAGAGCAGTATGGTGTAATTTATAATTATATATTGTAGGATTAGGTTTACGAGTAAATGAGCAGATAAAACATTTAGAAACATTTAGATCAAGTTTATTGTTAAAACAATACGCTTCTAAATTATAGAGATCCTTTTGAAGGCTAGAACAACTTTCCAAATCTGTAATAGGACATAAGATTTTCATATCGTCAGCGTAAAGAATAATCTTGGAACTTTTAAAACACGTATCGATGTCATTGATAAAAATTAAGAAGAGCAAAGGACCTAATATGGATCATTGCGGTACGCCAGACGATATATGGATTGTAGATTAACGATATCCACCAAGGACGACAGATTGACTTCGATTTCTGATATATGACGTAAACCATCTGAATAAATCACCTCTGATACCCATTTAAAGGAGTTTACGTAAAAGAATTAAATGATCAATTCTGTCGAATGCTTTGCAGTAGTCTGTATATACTACGTCAACGTGTGCTAGTTTGGACATAAAGCTAGTTAGATAGTCGGAACAAATAATAAGGTTTGACACGGTGGATCTGTTTTTTAAGAAACCATGTTGATTTTCACTAAATGTGTGACGAAGAGAAGAGTACACCTGGTTGTATATTATTTTTTCAAGCACTTTAGCAAATAGACAGAGATTAGAAATGGGACGATAATTTTGTACCTCATCCTTAGGTCCTTTTTTATGTACTGGAGTAATAAACACATTTTTCCAAATATTTGGAAACATGCCTCCTTTAAAGAACGGAGGTACAGGATGCTCAGAGACAAAGTAAGGGAGCCCGCACAACGTATGATGAAGATCGCCGGGATACCGTCTGGTCCAGCTGATTTGTGCGGGTCGATAGTCTTTAAAAGTCTGGATACGTCGGCTTCTTTCACTTCGATGGAATTGATATCGACAGGAGATTGATCAATTTTCGTGTCAATAATATTAAAGTTATTTGTGTCAGAATCGTGAAGAAAGTTAGACTTAAAAAACTGATTAAAGAAATCACAAATTACTTCACCTTTGCTTGAAGAATATTGACCGAATTTCATACTAGAAGGATATGAATTTGGAGATTTTTTACTCTTGACAAAGTTCCAGAAGGTTTTCGGTGATTTGCTTAAGTTATTTTCTATATAAAGAATGTAAGCTTCGTGCATACTTTTTTCAAGAACCTTACCACGTTCCCTTAATAAAATAAAAGAATCAAGATAGCAAGTGTTTCTGTATTTCTTATACTTAGAGTGGTACTTCATTTTTTCTTTTAAGATTTTAATCGGGGGGATTTTATACCAAGGAGGAAATCTGGAAGTTGGTTTAACAGTTTTGCAAGGGACATCTGCATTGATTAAAGTTTTTAACTTATCATACAATAAGAGCACAGCCTCCTAAAGTACCAATTCTAAGACAGTTGGACCAGTCCGTACTATCCAGTTGTTGGCATATTTTAGTGTAGTCTGCTAAATTATACAGGAATTTAGTTCTGGTTTGCGGTGAAAGCATATGCTGGTGGATGAAATCAACAGATATACATAATACCACGTGATGATGATCTTCCGACACCAAAGGGTCTAGACATTTATGTACATCTATAAAGTTATTGCAGAAAATTAAATCCAGAATTCTGTTGTTACAGTTTAGTTGACTATTATACTGAGATAAGGAACATAAATTGAGAGTATCAAAAAAGTCCGACTGAATGGGACCTTGAATATTAGAGGGGCATTGAGATTGCCCATCGTCAGGTGGCTGCCATATTATATTCGGCAAATTAAAATCGCCTAGAATTAAAAAAAACCGTCTGTCAAATTATTTAACACAGTCTCATTTAATTTAGTGTAGAAACATTTTAATTGATGTAATAAAGAATTACCTAAGTTTTGATAGCACATATAAACAATACAAATATTTAATTTGCAACACATATAAGTCGATGCACGCTTTAGGGCCAGAGTAATCCATATATCCTCCGCTGATGAACGCCATTCACTGCGTTCAAAAACTATAAGCTCTCGTCGAACAGTAATAAGAATGCCACCCCCCATACTTTGACCTGTATCAGAATAATTCCTATCACGCCTCCAAACTAGGTATCGGTTATCAAATAAATCAGTGTCGTTGAAGTCCTCATTAAGCCACGTTTCCGTTAAGCATGTTAAGTCGTAATTATTCATAACGATATTCCTATATAAAGTTGCTACTTTAATCCGTAAGCCCCGGACGTTTTGGTAGTATATATTATATTTCTTGAAGTAAATGTTTTCGCTACAGGATAAACACTAAACTAACTTGATAAGTAATAGTAGTAATTACAAATATTTTACGTTGAGGCATATTAGAAAATAATTTCCTATTAATTAGGTAAATGCATAAATATTTCATGATATACGCGTACAAGTGAGACACAAAAGTATAAGCAATGGCGCGCAAGCAGTGAAGTAGGTATTTTTGTGGAGTAATAACAATTCTCTTACATTCCAAAAATAACGCGAAAATAGACATGTAACTTACAGTAAATGTACCCGGTGTAATCTGAGCGACAGATCAAATGATTACGGAATACAGTTAACACGGTGCGAGAGTTACAGTAGGTTATAAGTGTTATTAAGTTGTGAATAATATGAAGTATTCGTACAAGTAAATAATTACTTGTAATCTATAAAAAAATAACATAGCACAAATATAACAAAACATCTATGATAAGCAAAAGAAAAATTAAAAAAGGGTATTATAAAATCTGAGCCTGTGAGATTCGATATGCAAAACGTTACTTTAAGCACAGCAGCATAATGAGCAAAATAGAGATAATAATAACAAACACAGATAGCAAGAACTTGCAATTTTGATAAGCGAACAATAGCGAGGTGCGAGTAAACAATGAATAGACGATTCTAACGCTTCTCAAACTTTGCGTATGCACTGAAAGTAAACTGAACAATAACTTGAGAAATCCTAAACAATTTTTCTTAAATCTAACTCCGTTTTTATTATATGAACAGGTGATGTTGTGTTTTTCCGTACAAGGATTTCGCAGTTCTTCACCCAAACGTACGAAAAATCCCGCTCCTTGGCCAAAGCTTTGGTTTTGTTTAATAACAATTTGTTTCCAAGCGTTAAATGGTCGTTGATAAAAATTCTGTTAGTACCGTTAAGACCTATATCCAACGGCGTAAGGTTTTACATTTTCTTGCTGCTGCGACAAAGTTGTCTCTGAGGTATCGATTGTGCAAAGATTCGATTACGCTTATATTGTTTTTATCGTTGCGGGAAGGAACTCTAGCAATGTAATTAATGTTGTTATCGCTAATATTAAAGTCAATTTTGGTTGCTATTTTAGATACAATGGTAAATAGATTTTGTGTGTTAATTATAGGAACTTCTTTGATTTCAATATTGTTCAATCGTGACCGCTGCCCCCATCATTGAAGACAGCTTCCAATTTTTGCAACCGATGTTCTAGGCGAGTTACATCTTCCTTGGTCTTCTGAAGTGTTTGAATTTCACGATCTACCTCGGCTATCCTAGCTATAAGCATGTCAATCGAAGCGTGAACGTAGTCCAGCGAATCTTTCACAACCGACAACTCACATTTAATAGTTTTAAGATCAGCCAACTCAGCCTGAATATTTTTTACCGAATCTAGTAACTTGGGCAATGATGACATTTGTTCAGAGAGTCCACGTAACTCACCACGAATACCGTCGAGATCACTTGGAGTGCAAAAATTGGAACGACCAGGAGCTGGACTTCCAGAGCTAGTATTTTTACAAGTACTACATTTCCACATTGCTTTCCTATCGCCAAGTTTTTGAAAACCAATCTTGGTTATTCCAGCACACGAAAAGTCGTATTGCTTCAAACACAGAGTACACTGAACACCATCTGACCATCTTACAACGGTGGCAAGTAAATATTTTTAAAAAAGAAACGTTTGAGTATCTTAGACAGTTGCAACCTGCAACAGCGCGAGGCAATATTGAACGAGTGTACGTGCGTACTGTTTACGATCTGACAACTGACTGACTATACTACTAATATAGCTGCAGTATAGTTCTACCACGTAAAAATAAAGGTTTAAAAAGTTACATGAAATTCTAAATAATTTTTATAATACAATTTTTCTTTATAGAAGAGGGGGCAAACGAGCATACGATTCACTTTATGTTAAGTGACTACCACCGCCCATGAACAATTGCAACACCAGGAGAATAGCAGTGCGTTGCCGGCCTTTTAGAAAGGAGTAAGCTCTTTTCTTGAAGGTCCCCAGGTCGTATCGGTCCGGAAAAATCGCCAGTGGTAAACTATTCCACAGAGAGGTCGTACGCGGAAGGAAACTCCTAGGGAAACGTACAGTGGTGGACAATCCATATTGAATAAAAAAGTTTCTGTTTCTATAAATATTTAAAAAGCAAATATCAGTGGAAGACTGTCGTTGAATATTCAAAACTGTTATTTTTAAAGGTTTTTTTATAGAAGAAAGGTGACAAGCAAGCACACAGTTCGCCTGATGGTAAGTGGTTGCTATGGCCCATAGACTTCATCCATCCTTCGATTACGAATCAAAATGCAAATGCATTGTCACCCGTGAGGACTAAGATGGAATGCCTCCTTTCCAGTGAAAAGTGTCTCCGATTCTCTACAATCACCATACGAAACAGCAGCATTAAGCTGCTATTTTACGCCGGTATTCTGCGAGAGCGTGGTCCTTCCCTAGTCGAGCCGACCTATTCGTGCTACAACTATACCACTAATATAGCTGCAGTATGGCTCTACCACGTAAAAATAAGGTTAAAAAAGTTACATGAAATTCTAAATAATGTTTATAATACTATTTTTTTATAGAAGAGAGGACAAACGAGCATATTATACGGTTCACCAAATGTTAAGTGACTACCGCCGCTCATGAACAACTGCAACACCAGGGGAATAACAGGTGAGTTGCCGGCTTTTTGGAAAGGAATAAGCTCTTTTCTTGAAGGTCCCCAGGTCATATCGGTCCGGAAAAATTGCCGGTGGTAAACTATTCCACAAAGAGGTCATACCCGGAAGAAAACTCCTTGTGAAACGTACAGTGGTGGACCGCCAAGCATCCAGATGTAATATTAATTGTAATAAATAAGCTGTAACATCAAAATGTAAATAATTGTTACAAAATATGTAAACAAAACAATTATCAATCTGATTTATTGTATTTTATTAAATTATCTCAAACTATGTACATGAACTTAGTTGGTATTATATATTATATTATAAAAACAACTATCGACAAAATATCGATAAAATTCCGAAAGTTGAAGGGGCATCCCTGATTGTTTTTTTCCCTTCGACAGGTATGTTTTCAAGTGGTTTTATTATAAATATCCCAAGGTATTTGGTAGAAGTTTTTACATTTTTAGATAGCTTAGATCCTTGTTTATTGTTTTTTATTTGATTTCTAATTAATTCATGAAAGCAAGCCCACAAAATAGTTAGCCAATTTTGATCATGAATAAGAAGTATATTGTTTTGATAAAAACATTAGATTTGATATCAAGCTGAAAATATATTTATCAATTAGTAAGTTAAGTATGCCACATGCTTTGTGGCATACCTTGGGGAGGCCTATGTTCAGCAGTGGACTTGTGAAGGGCTGTAATGATGATGATGATGATGAAGTTAAGTAAGTTCAGTTGTTTCTTAAAATGTGCGTGACAAAAGGACACAGTCAACTGGATGGTATATAGATGCTATGGCCCATAGACATCTACATTTATCTTCGATTAAGAATTAAAATGAAGATGTTTAGTCACCCCTGAGGGCTAAGATGGAATGCCTCGTTTCCAATAAAAAGTACCTACAATTCTCTACAATCACCATACAAAAGCAGCATATTACGCTTGTATTTTGTGAGGGCGCTGTGCCACCAGGGTCGAACCGGCATATTCGTGCAAATTCGTCCTCCCGGCGAACGCTGGCTTCGTCTATGTGTCCGACTGGGTAGTTGCCACCCTCTTACATTTTTCTACTGCCAAATAGCAGTCTTTTATTCCGGTTGGAAGAGTATAGAGAGTCAGTATAGAGGTTGCGAGGGCGGCTCCCCCCGCACAACCTCTATGTTATCTACCACGTCGGTCTTATTATCGGCTACACGGAGACTCCCTATCGGTTTCTTCTTGTAACTGCGCAATGTCCCTAGCGCATTTTTTCTTAATTAAATCACCTGTATCTCTAATTGTTTTCTACGGATCGCGGCGAGCTCTACAGCTGCGTTGCACTCGAGTTGTTAGATCCTTGCTATCACGATAGCTGTCGACCGGACTGAACGCACAGACGGGGCGCGCGGTGCAGGCCTATGAACACCGTCGATAAACATGGGTGCGGCGGGTTGCATCGTTGAACTAGTTTCTGTTGCCTTTGGCCTAGGCTTTGAGGGGTTCCATCTTAGTACACAGACTAAAATATTCCCTTAGCGTTTTTGTTTGAAGTTTCCCATGAAGAAGTCCATGGGTTGCAGTAGCCACTTAATATCGCATTCGCAGCGGACTCGACGGACATCAGAGTGTGTGGAGAATGTTGTGGACCGAGGGCGTGTGCGGAAGGTGTCAGAGTCGAGATCGGAGGGACCGATAATGTCGCCACGGATGGGGGGTGCCCTAAGTCCACATCGGAGTGCTCCAGCGATGAGATCGTTGTCTTACTGTCATGCACCACCTTCACGGGCGTTCTTGAGAGCACAAGACGGCTAGCCCACCCAGTGCATCTCGTGACTCGGAGAAATTCCATAGTAGGTTGGTGGAGAAACTGCGAAGGGCGTTAGGACGCGCTGATGCACGGCGTGAAGAAGGCAGCTCATGAGCTAATCAGGCGTGCTTGTGTACAGGGCGCGCGCGGAGTCTCCCGAGCACTAGCGATGTGGAGCCTGCATGCCCTACCTGTGACGCACGCCCGCACCAGCGCCGACACAATATCTTTGATACGTTTGAGATAGTGCAGAGTTGAGTTAACTTATAAATATGCTAACTTTAACCGCCTATTTTTCGGAAGTTCATTCTAATCGAATCAATCATATCTTGAGAAGACCACGCAAAGTAAAAGTACCTATTTAGCTGTCATACCTTCCGCTTTCCGAGCTTTGCATGGTTGTTAGTGTGGTGATTTATTTTTATATTTCTATAAAGCCAGATTTGATTATTTTGTCTGTATTAGGTTTTTGAAGGGGCTTGTAATTTATGTTTTAAGACTGTATTTAGTTTAAGATAATCCACCGGGCGGATTTGTTCACATGACTTGCATTGTCTCCCGGTTGTTAGTTAGTACACCTAGACGTGCGTGGCAGTTCGTTATTTGTAAGAAATAGTATTATTATTTGAGTGAAATATGAATTAGTATATTATTTTAGGGGACTCGTACTTATATTTATCAATTCACTATCTTATATGTAGTCAATAGTTATAGCTGGCTAAATTCAATCAAGTACAAAATACTTTTCATAAAATATAACAAAATCTTTTGAATTAAATAACCAGTAATTAAAGCATTACAAATAATGGAAATTAGATAATTTCGTATAATTATGCTATTTGTTAGCAAAATTTTAATAACCGGAGGTTTTAACTGGAAGTATGTTTACCTCCCAGTTTCTTCTTAATCTTCCTTCATTTACCGTACCGTATACCTATACATTGGATTTAAACAAGTTATATATTTATAATTTTTACTGTAATAATTATAGCATATAAACAAAAGCTGTTTAAATTATTAAAAATCATGAATACTGATCTGTTACATTAAAATTAAATTCATGAATTACATAACAAATAATAATTCTAATTCCTTACTCTAAGTTATCCTACCGACTTACTGTGATCAAGCTCAGAGATTTACGTGAAAGGAAAAAAATGGGAAGATTATGGCAGGTGCAAATTAAAGCGTGAGAAATGCTTGCAGTTAATTAAAGCGAAAATTCAGCTAGATTAACGACTTTGTAACATTTAAAAGGAAATTAAACGTGGCAACTCAGTAAAAATTAAATTAAAGGTACAAAAATATGAGTATTTAGTACCTACTAAAACATATGCACTGATATTGGTTCTTATTTTTTTATAGGATAGGCTGACAAACTAGCACACAGTCCATCTGATGGTTGGTGGTTGCTGTGGCCCATACACATAGTTAAGGAAGTGGTATCTGTGCGGATGCTCAGGATAAACCACCTCAGCAGCGAGTGGAAGGACAGCCTACAACATGCACAGCAGGAAGATTCGGACATCAAGCCATGTTTGTATCTTATTGACGTAGATATCTATGAGCCACAGCAAAAACTTACCTTTAGCACAGAATAAATAATAGTACTACCATTAGGTAGACCGTGTGCTCATTTGGCATCCCTATTATTTTAAAAAAAATCTCTAAGAATCAACGAGATCTTTAAGGTATTTCCCATGGTCGCCTTCTTACCTACTCGATGGATTCGTCGCTACCATAAGGTGAATATTAATTACGGCGGTTATAAAATTGAATATGTTTTATTGTTACGATTTCTTAAATTTACGCGAACACTACACATTGAATAAAACTATTATTTACGGATTTTATCGCGTTTAATTACTTTAATTTATTTTTATTATTATCCCGACGTTTCGGGTGCTTTACAGCACCCATGGTCACGGGGGGGACTGAGATGTTTGACGTCCCAATGTCATAGTTAGTCCGGCTACCTTCAGTATTTTTTTAATATTAATTTTTTAGTCCGATTTACGCAAAACGAGCTTATAGTATCATGAAGTCTTGCAGTGGTATGCTTGGGTTTGGGTTTAATTTTGTTAATTATAGGATACCAAGCAGATGGTAGCACCCAACCATCTTCTCTATTGAAATATG